TGATTTCTCCCGTTATGGATATGTTTTTCCCATTAAAGATAGATCTGAATCACTCGATAAGTTTAAGATATTCAAAGCTGAGGTTGAAAATCAGCATAATGCAAAAATTAAGGTAGTGAGATCAGATCGAGGAGGAGAATATTATGGGAGACATATTCCTTATGGGCAAAGTCCTGGTCCATTTGCCCAATACCTTTAGATACATGGAATAATTGCCCAATATTCCATGCCTGGAGAACCACAACAAAATGGAGTGGCTGAGCGTCGCAACCGAACACTTATAGACATGGTACGGAGTATGCTTAGTCATTCTACTTTGTCTGTGAATTTATGGATAGAGGCACTTAAAACAGCTGCACACATACTCAATCGAGTTCCAAGTAAGTCGGTACCTAAAACACCTTATGAATTATGGACTGGAAGAAAACCGACATTAAATTATTTGCGTGTGTGGGGCTGTCGTGCCGAGGCAAGAATATTTAATCCACAACTAAAGAAATTAGATCCCAAGACTGTAAGCTGTCATTTTATCGGATACCCTGAGACATCTAAAGGGCACCGATTTTATTGCCCAGACCGTGTCACTAAATTTGTGGAAACTAGACACGCCGTATTCTTAGAAAATAATGAAGTCTGGGGGAGCTCACAGGAAAGGGAAATTAATCTTGAGGAAATTCGGGCTAACGTTACACCGGAAATCCTAGAGAATAATATTCCAATAAATTTGGTAACTCGTGTTGTACCTGTGACTCAGACCGTGGTAGCACCAGATGAAAATTCTGGTGATACCGACTCTGTTGAAAATAATAATGAATTAAATAATGACACTCAACAGACTTCTGAGGCACAAAATGAAGGAATTCAAGAAGAACTTTCTCAACCACCAGTGATCGAAAGTGAACCACTTAGAATATCATAACAGGAGAGGAGATCTGCCATTCCAAATTATTATGAGGTTTATTTAGGTGAAGATATTGGGAAGGTAGATGATCCCATCTCATTTAAAGAAGCAATAACGAGTGAACATTCATCCAAATGGCTTGAAGCTATGGAAGATGAATTAAAATCTATGAGTCATAATGGAGTCTGGGACTTAGTAGAAATTCCTAAAGGAGCTAAAACAGTAGGCTATAAGTGGGTCTACAAAACTAAGCTTGACTCCAAAGGGAAAATCGAAAGGTTTAAGGCAATGCTTGTAGCAAAGGGTTTTTCACAAAGAGATGGAATAGATTATAATGAAACCTTTTCTCCCGTCTCTAAGAAAGACTCATTTAGAATTGTTATGGCACTTGTTGCTCATTATGATTTAGAGCTCCATCAGATGGATGTAAAGACCGCATTTCTTAATGGTGACTTGCATGAGGATGTATACATGGCACAACCCGAGGGTTTTGTTGTGGAAGACAAGGACCATTTGGCTTGCAAACTTAAGAAATCTATCTATGGACTTAAACGAGCGTCAAGGCAATGGTACCTTAAATTCGATGAAATAATTAAGAGATTCGGATTTAAGGAGAATGAGGTGGATAATTGCTTTTACATTAAGACTAAGGGTGGAAAATTCATAATACTAGTACTCTATGTGGATGACATACTGTTAGCAAGCAGCGACATTAATATGTTGCATCAGACTAAAGAATTTTTGTCATCTAATTTTGATATGAAGGATCTCGGTGAGGCATCTTATGTTTTAGGCATTGAAATACACCGAGATAGGTCTAAAGGAGTACTGGGATTATCTCAGAAATCATACATTAGCAGAGTATCAGAAAGATATAATATGAGTAAGTGCTCTGCAACACCTGCTCCAATAGTTAAGGGCGATAAATTCGGATTATTTCAAAGCCTGAAAAATAAATTAGAATCAGATCAGATGAAAATGGTACCATACGCTTCAGCTGTCGGAAGCCTAATGTATGCTCAAGTCTGTACGCGTCCAGACTTAGCATTTGTTACCGGGATGCTTGGCAGATTTCAGTCCAATCCAGGTTTAGACCACTGGAAGGCTATTAAAAAGGTCTTGCGTTATTTGCAAGGCACTAAAGATTACATGCTCACATACAAGAAGTCTGAAGAACTTGAAGTCCTAGGTTATTCAGATGCTGACTTTGCGGGATGTGTAGACACTAAGAAATCTACATCAGGTTATGTCTTCACTCTCGCAAAGGCAGCTATTTCATGGAATAGCTCTAAACAAACTTTGACTGCATCGTCGACAATGCAGGAATTTGTGGCATGTTATGAAGCAATGGGGCAGGCCGTATGGCTTAAGAATTTTATCCCGGGTTTAAGAGTGGTCGACAGCATTTCTAGACCAATCACATTATACTGCGATAATAAAGCTGCAGTATTCTATTCAAGTAACAACAAGTCGAGTGGTGCTGCCAAACACATTGATATTAAGTATCATGTTGTGAAAAATAGAATCCAGGATCAAACCATTAAGATTGAGCATATTAGTACTAAGTCAATGCTCGCGGATCCGCTCACCAAAGGCTTACCTCCCAATTTATTTAAAGATCATGTAGCCGGAATGGGAATAACTGATTGCCTTTGATTAAGACTAAGATCCTGGAAATAGGGGCATTAGTCCTAACTAACTCCCATTAAGATTAGATAGAGTTCTTTCGAAGCTTTATAGTGAACTATAGGTACCGGAGTCTTGGTAGGACATGATAACTACCCTGACGCATTGCCTTAGTAAATCTATTTTTCTAAGAATAAACTCATTAGCCTCAAGATCAGGGGGGAGAATGTTAGGAAAGTTAATCTCTCGGCTATGGAAATCGGGAGAAAATCACGCATTACCGTTTTCCACCCGTTAACCAGTGTGATTAGCTAAATCAAATCACGATTAAATTTCCTTAATTGCACGCGCAATAATCGGTAGCGCTTCCAACATTTCCTTTTGAAGCAGCCCCCGATTCCCTCAGCGCAAAAAATAAAAGGGGAGGCCGGCCCGTGAGAAAGATGACGATCTCACTCACGGTTCCAATCTCCCCGACATCCCAAAACCCTAATTTCCCGATTCTCAGTTGCGCTGGAAGGGATTCGTATTGCTGTTCCGGGACAGAGTAGGTGGCGACCGGAAGGCCGCCGCCACCCCGTAGGTGATCGCCGGCGACCTCTTCAGGATCAAGCCGGTGTACTCACTGCTACGACCACTTCTCCTACACTGACAATTCGCGAGGTGGTTCGAGGTTTCTACATCCTGTACATCCACCCCGGACCAAGCAAGAACAATTGCAATGGCTTCAAACAACGGTCAGTAATCCTAAATTCCGCATTAGGGTGATCATGTTAGGCTTAGCACCTATGTCTTAGTAGATCGCAATATCTACAATAGTCGGTAGAATATATAGCAAAATCATTTTTACTTTCCTCCTTTTTTTCATAACCTTTCCCCAATGATTCGATCGATACTACGGGCCTCATCTTAGCGTAAGCTTATCAGCCAAAATTTGAATATTCAACCATAAATTGAGAGTTGATTTTAGGGTTTTCTTATTAAAATTTATTTTTTAGCCTCTACTTTTAAATCGCTATGAACACATATATAAAAATATTATTTATAAATTATTTTTCGTTTGCAAATACAACAGCTAGACATCTCAAACGATCGTGCGGGAATTCCCGCAGCCATTTTTACCCCTAGCTGCAGCACAGGATTTTGGCTGGAAACGCTCGTGTCGTATTCACTGGCACGCGGCAGAAAGGCAACTGTCAGATTAGCTGGTTGCACGTTGGGCATGAACGCCACCCGCTATCTCCTGTCTGTCACCCTTTATTGCAATTTGTTGTTTTGGAAAAAGATTAAAGGTGTGCCAAAACTGAATACCAGGAAACAAAAAAGTCAACCATTACTATGTATCACATTCTTCAAGATTAACTAATTTTGTTCTTCGAAAAGATAATAGTTGCCATATTTGGTTCAAATTCGTTTGGAGTTTGACAGTAGGTCTGAAACTATCGGCGATACAAACAGATTGTTGGGATTGGTTGCCATAAGAGCAGGTATAATAGCAGACTATGAGAGCAAGTTTAATAGTATAGTCAACTACGGGCACCAAATCATCTATAGTCAATTTAGTAGCCAATTCATACAATAGTAAAAAAAATTCATACAATAGTTACCTATAAATATAGAGATTTGCTCTGGTCCAACAAAAAGTAACTCGAGGTACCGGTACCTCACGGTACCAAATCATTTTCGATCGTTGGATCTAGCTGGGCAGGATGAGCATTGTTAGATCCAACGATCGAAAACGATTTGGTACCGTGAGCTACCGGTACCTCGAGCTACTTTTTATTGGACCGGAGCAAATCTCATAAATATATACTACACAATTCATACTTGGTCCAACCTGTCATACACTACCAGCATTTGCTGGCTTCGGTTTCAAAAAAAAAAAAACCTGTCATACACATATATCTTAGAGTTTGTGCTGCAGCTGGCTACAAATCTTAGAGATAAAAGAAGAGAGAGAAGAGCAGCGTGTTATAGATTTGTAGCCAGCTACAACACAAACTACAAGGTATATGTGTGTATGACAGGTGAGACCAAGTATGAATTGTGTAGTATATGTTTATAGGTAACTATCGTATGAATTGACTACTAAATTGACTATGGACGATTTAGAGCTCGTAGTTGGCTATAGTATTAAACTTGCTCTAAAAATGCCTCTTTGCAGTAGATAGAGACTAATTTTAATCAACCATCCATGACGTGTTAAACCTTTTTTTTTTCCTAATCCTGTTGTATTTGGGCCAGGATAATAACTGAAATCCCTGGCACAGTACAAATCCATATCTTACCATTACCCTTATAGAAACGTCGGGTTACCTGAAATGGCTAAATGTATATTCCTTAATTTGCCATCTGTTGGGATAGAAGAAATAATAATAAAAAATATTTCCATTTATTTGCATTATAAATTTCATACTACTTACCAATCCTGGCATCCCTCCCTATAAATACATATGCGTATCATATAGCCGGCCGGTGTCTCTAGCGATACAGGACAAAAAAAAAGCTTCTGTTCTTGCTACCATGGTTGCTATGAGAGGAGCCTCGCCGGTTGTTGTTCTGGTCTTGGTTGCTTCCGTTCTTGCTCCAGGTAATCTTCATCCGTCTTAACAATCTTCATCTGCTTCTGTTCTTGACGATGATTTCAGTGTCGTGTTCTTTATTTGAGAGGTAATTAACCTTTTTTTGTTCAAAAAACAATATATGATGTTCCTGTAAGATGGATCTTGCCAATACATACATACATATATATATATATATATATATATATATATATATATATATATATATATATATATATATATATATATATATATATATAGGCTAGAGGAAATGATTTCGAATCGCATATGGAAGTCACGGTAAGGTGGTTGATTTGTAGGGATTAGCTGATTCAAAATCCAATTTTTGCACACAACTTGTTTTGGCTGTTCTCTTTCTCTCTCTGACGATGTAGATCTGTTGGCGACAATAACATAAAAAAACATATTTTTGTTTTTTCATGTACAAATTCGTTCTTATTCTGTTTTTGTTTTTTCATGTACAAATTTGTTCTTATTCTGAGAATGTGAGGTTCTTATTTTCTTGTTTTCGGCTAGATAAGTGTTCTGTAAGATGCGAAAAATATGAGACTGATGGCGCGAAAACATGATGACTTTTTCAATTTAAAATATATAGGATATCGGTTATAAATACTTCCTCCCTTCCATAATATAACTATTTTTTTCATCTGTTCCATAATATAAGGCGTACATGCATGCAAGTCAAGTAATTAGTATGCATGCAAGTCAAGTAATTAGTACCTCTTCTATATTAAATTATGATTTTTTAAAATCCTCCACCCTCGAGATCTCTAATTCTATTGGGTACATGTATTTTATTTATTAGAGTGATTCAAATTAGAAGGTGATAATAATTGTTTCTTAGTCTTTAGATTAAACGTGATTGTGCCTTATATTTTAGAAAGGAGGGAGTATATAGTAGTAGTTAATAAATGCATGATGTCACTTGTAAGTTGCAATTAGCATGCCAGGTGTCACCTATTGAATAACATCAAATGTTCTTTTATTAAATAAGTGAGAAAAGATTTCTAAAATTTCTCTTTTACAAATAGCGATTTAGTTATTTACTCTCTCTGTATCAGAAAAAAAAACAATGATTAGATTCATCCTAGAAATTGGCTTTTTGGGATGGAGGATGCTGGCTAACAAAACAAATTTCATAAAGTGCATTGCATTTCTCTTCAGGCGCCATGTCAGCGAAGTTCGTGTTCACCAACAATTGCCATGAAGTGCTCTACCCCGGCGTGCTGACGCCGGCGACCGCGCAGGCGTTCCCGACCACCGGGTTCGAGCTGCAGCCGGGCGCGTCCGCCGCGTACGACGGGGTCCCGGACAACTGGTCGGGCAACATCTGGGCCCGGCGGCTCTGCTCCACGGACGCCTCGGGCCGCTTCTCGTGCGAGTCCGGCGACTGCGGCACGGGCCGCGTGGAGTGCGACGGCAGGGGCAACGGCCCGCCGTCGACGCTGTCCGAGTTCACGCTACGCGGCGGCAGCGCCCGCGACACGGACTTCTACGACATCAGCAACGTGGACGGGTTCAACGTGCCCGTGCAGGTGGCGCCGTCGGGCGCCGGGTGCTCGGCGGTGGCGTGCGCGGCCGACATCGACGCGTCGTGCCCCGCGGAGCTGGCGGTGAAGGGCGCCGGCGGCGCGGTGGTGGGGTGCAAGAGCGGGTGCCTGGCGTTCGGCCGGGACGACCTGTGCTGCCGCGGGGCGTACGGGACGCCGGACAAGTGCCCGCCGAGCCAGTACTCCAAGTTCTTCAAGGACAAGTGCCCGCAGGCGTACAGCTACGCCTACGACGACAAGAGCAGCACCTTCACCTGCACCTCTGGCGCCAGCTACCAAATCACCTTCTGCCCTTGACCTCCTAGCAATTTGATCATTTACTGATAGATTTGGATTAATCGATTAGCTGTCAATTTGGAACTCTTTATTGAATAACAGGGGTTATTATGCTTTGCCTATCTAGTTCGCTTCGGAATTATCTGAACGGCAGAACTTTTCTTCTTTTTGTTGTTGTTAATTTTAAGGTTCCTTATGCTAGTAAACTGCAGTGAAAACAAAATTTAAATCTAATGATCGATGTTTATAGTCGTTTAAAGTACGTTATTTGAAACTTTGCTAGGCTAGCTTTTACCCATTCAAATGATATGATTATAATATCGTTTAAAAGTTCCAAATTTGATCGAGTTGAAAGTTTTAAAATTTTTAGTTCAAAGTTTTGAATTTTGATTTCAAAGTTTTTTGAAATTTGAGTTGAAAGTTTTCAAATTTGATATTGAAGTTTTAAAATTTGAGTTGACAGTTTTCAAATTTGAATGAAAGATTTCAAAATTTGATTCAAAAGCTGGATTTTTTTAGTAGAAGGTTCCCTAGGAATACTCAAAACTGAATTAATCTAAGCACTGTGTTAAATATATTTTAATATTTTAGAGATTGGAAAAAAAAACCCACTGTAGAACAAATTTTGTTTGTGAGTACATAAACTTTTTTATGCACCTTCTGTTTGACGTCTCCTGCACAAGCACGAAGCATCCTTGCAAGTAATGAACCATTTTTCTCAAGGCATTCTTTCTTGTTTCAGTTTGCTTCTTGTGGGCAATTTTCCTAGTCACTTTCTCCTTTTATTTTCTTTAGAGTTCAATATTGTGTCTTTTGTTTTAATTAATTGAGCAGGAAACAACAATTTCCTTCGATGTATGCCCTCCAGAATGATAGTGGAAGCAATCGAAGAATGCATCATTGATCAATTGATGGACCGCTTAGATCGAAGCTAAGGCAAATTTTGCCACTGGGAGCAAAGGCAGAGGATGCGGATCCGGAATTAATCTGGAAAGGAGCTCATACCTCATGTTTTTGTTTTACTTTATTTTGAGAAGACCCATGTACTCTCTCCTTTTCTCTCTATAATCTCTGCAATTTTCTCCCAAATTCATATGTTTTATTTTCTACAAACCATCCAAACGCATAAACACTTAACTCTGAGATTTGAAACCCTGTAGGAATCCAGAGTATATAACGTCCTATATATTTTCGTTTTTTCTATTCCCGCATTTCAGAAATCCTACGATAAAGACCTTATCGCTTGGATAGGCTGGGATTTTGGTAGACCAGAAATTTGGACCTCTGGAAACAACCCATAAAATGTATATCACCTACAAAAGAAAAAATTAATAACAAAGTACAATTTATATAAAAACAGTTAATTAATGTTATAAAATACTCTCATGTTTTTGTAGAAAAATATTATAAATTTGTTTTTTTGTTAACTACATGAGTGTCAACTGCTAATAAAAAAGGTAACAAATGTAACATGTTAAGTATAGTCTTCTTGATAACAAAAAGTTCTTTTTAGCTAAGCCCTGTTTGTTTCAGTTTAAGATTATTGAGCCAGATTACTGTAAGCTGCACTATAATAAGTTGACATAGAATAAGTTGTTAGCTGTTTGTTTCTCTGAATTATTAGAGACATGGATTACTATGTTTGAAATGCTATAGGCTGTAATACCCTTAACTATTTTGGATGCCTTGCTCATCCTTTTGTCAATGTATACAACAAATACATAATATGAAATAGCTAAAATATAATGTCATATATTAATAAATAAAACATTCATGAATACTTTTTTTCTACAATAATCTGAACACCAATGCTTGGAGATGGAGATGGATGCGCCAAGTGGGAAAATGAGGAGATGACAACGGTGGCGGCGGCGACGCTTTGGGAAGGGGCCGAGGCGTGGAGTGGCGGCGGCGGCGGCGTGGCCTAGGGAAGGAACCAGGGCGGTGGAATGGGGGCGGCGACAACGTGGCCTGGGGAAGAAGCCAGGGCGCAATGGTGGTGCGGATCGGAGAAGAAGTCGGGAGTGGAGCGGGGAAGGCGGTGGCGTGGCCAGGAAGGAGGAGGGCGATGCGTGCGCGACCATGGGAGGAAGTGGCGGCGCGGCCGGGGGAGGAGGCCGATACGCGTGCAGCTAGGGAAGGAGAAGGTCAATGTGTGCGCCGAGTAGGGAAGTAGTCCGATTTGTTCAGTTTGATGGCAAGGTGGGTAATTTTTTAAGTATATAGGGTAATGGGCCTTTAGCCATCTAATAATCTGAAAAAAGAAACACTTTTAGAGTGGATTACCATATTATAATAATCTATCATAATGAGCTACTTGTTTATATTTAGATTGCTCCTAATAATCGAGATTATAATAATCTTAAGTTGAATCAAACAGGGCTTCTATAGAAAAAATATATATATGCACCAACCTGATCTACCAAAGATATACATATAAGCAAAGTCAAAATACAATAGTTAGCCAAATATCTAGCTAATGTACTTAATGTTTGTTGTAAACAAGAGCTATGAAAGGGCATTAAACTGAAAGTGGACTAGTGGCGCTCTCTTGAGACAAGAAACAGATGTTTGTAGTAATCAAAATAAGAGAATGGACAGTAAATTTTAGAGAAGCTGTAGTTTATTTATGATTTCACAACATATGTAGATTGGGCAAAATTATAGTGTGTTAATTAAACACAGTTCCGTTTTTCTCTCCCATGGAAGCTAAATAAGGAAGATGCACTAGCATAGTAGCATGAGGTCGGCAAGCTAGCTCATTTATATCAAGAAGCCACAAAATCTTGCACAAAGGAAGGTTGTTAAAAATTGCTTCTCATGGACACATTTTTCAACCCTTTTCTTAACAACCAAACAGGCAAACAAAGAAATTTGAAATGATATATTCTAACAATACGAAAACGAAATAATATAAATACCTCAAATAAGGTTTTTGATGCAGCAGGGGGTCAAACTGATCAGAAGATCATTAGAATACTTCTGCCATTGTTCAGATTTGCAGAAATACAGCAATCAGAAAGTTATACTAAGTGACCCATCATATTTGGGTTATCTGCCATTTCGATCAGTTTACAGTATTAAGTAAAATTCTAAGCAATGGTCCAGGTCCAGGGAACATTTGTATTGTACACGGCTGAATTCAATTACAACTATAAACAAATGTGTAATAGGAGGTGAGCTGGAGATAAAAAGCAAAGTATTTTGGACCGTAGGTTTCAAAAGAGTCGTTAATTAATCCCATAGTATCACTTTATGTGTAGATTGGGGAAGGTTAAATGAAAACAATCAGTTCCCTTCTCTCTCCCATGCAAGAAAGCCAAAAGAGGAAAACACACTAGATGAGGTCGGCAAGCTATAGCTAGTTCATTGAAGCTCTATACAAAAATCACACATAATTAACAAGCTTTGCTTCCAACAGAAAAAAAATCCTTTTTATGCGGGTGATTAAACGGGTTATTTTTCACCAGTACATTAATAAAAGAGCTTGCAAATCTCCAGTTCTCCACAGCGTTCACAATGTCTTGTCAAATGATCGGACTAATTAATTCATGAGCAACCTTATTAAATCCCCTAGGGCGTCAAACAAAAAACAAACCAAGAAGCTCAAAACAATATGAAAATGTTAACGAAATTATCAAAAACAAACAGACATGATGAAAATCAGTTATAATTCTTTAGTCATTGATGTCCATATTTCCACAAACACGTACATCAGTTTTACTTTAGGTGATCCAGCGTATTTGGGCTACTATTCCTTTTGTCCATAAATCTATTGGAATTAATGAATGGGCCTTAGCCCACTCGAAGATTAATTCTTTGGAAAATCACAAAAGCCCACCTCATGGGATGCATGCATGTGGAATTTAGTACCACCTTGCTTATTCTAGGAGAGGGGGACCTCCTTAAAAGAGAGGATGCCCTCCTAGCCACTTGAAGCATGTGTGGTGGAGAGAAGAGGGGGAACACATGCGTGCACTCACTCGCCTCGTCTGGCAGGCGGTGCGCATGCACGACGTACGCATTGAATGGTCCGCCAAAATTGGTTCCACACCTTGCGTAGATGCAGCCTCCTTTTATGCTGCAAATTCGGATTCGTTTTTGTTTTGGAAACGTTCCGAAAAATCCGGTGCGTGCAAACGGCGTGGAGTCCGGATAAGTTACGCGTGACTTATCCGGTTCAGTTACGCGCAGTGAAGATCGTGCGGGCGCCCTGATCAAGCGACTCTTCTCTATATAAACCAACCCGCGACCCTTCTCTATATAAACCAACCCGCCGTCTTCACGCAACATACGCGAAATCAATCTAGGGTTTGCCTCCTACTCTGTACTGCGCCGTCGCTCGTAGATTACTCCATCCCGCTCGCCGGCGTGCACCTGCGATCGGGAGAGCAGGTCTCCGGAACCTCTGCCTTCGACGTCCTGCACCGGGAGAAGGCGGCAATAAGAAAAATCCGGTGCGTGCAAACGGCGTGGAGTCCGGATAAGTTACGCGCGACTTATCCGGTTCGGTTACGGGCAGTGGAGATCGTGCGGGCGCCCTGATCAAGCGACTCTTCTCTATATAAACCAACCCGCGACCCTTCTCTATATAAACCAACCCGCCGTCTTCACGCAACATACGCGAAATCAATCTAGGGTTTGCCTCCTACTCTATACTGCGCCGTCGCTCGTAGATTACTCCATCCCGCTCGCCGGCGTGCACCTGCGTTCGGGAGAGCACGTCTCCGGAACCTCTGCCTTCGACGTCCTGCACCGGGAGAAGGCGGCAATAAGGTTTTTGAAAAGCGCTTTGCGCGACTGCTCCCTGTTCTTCTGCGACGGCTCGTCTTCCCCTTCACTCGCGTGCTGCGTGCCTTCGTAGATGCCTGCGAAAAGTTTCGACCGAGCAGCCGGTCTTTCCGCCACCTCGGTACGTGTTCAATATGTTGCGCATATTTGATCTGTTCATGTTATACTGTGTAGTTTACATGCGTAGATCTAATGATGCGTTTATGCTAGTTTTCATCTGTAATGTCATGATTTATTTATGGAATAGGTTAAATCATTATATGCCTATAATCTCAACAATCCAAAAACCTTATTATAGGCACTGTGATTTTACTATGGCTGGTTTTGCCGATGCACTGAGGCCGGATAAATTCACCGGTGTGCATTTTAAGAGATGGCAGATTAGAGTCACTCTGTGGCTGACAGCTATGAAATGCTTCTGGGTGAGTACTGGCAAACCTGAAGGAGTTCTTACTGCTGAACAGCAGAAGTAATTCGAGGAAGCCACTACTCTCTTTGTGGGATGCATTCTTAGCATTCTTGGCGATCGTCTGGTCGAGGTGTATATGCATATGACCGACGCTAAGGAGTTGTGGGATGCACTGAATACTAAATTCGGTGCTACTGATGCTAGCAATGATCTGTATATCATGGAGCAGTTTCATGACTACAAGATATCTAACAACCGTTCTGTAGTCGAACAGACTCATGAGATACAAACCATGGCTAAGGAACTCGAACTCCTTAAGTGTGTCTTACCCGACAAATTTGTGGCCGGGTGCATTATTGCGAAACTACATCCATCTTGGAGAAGTTTCGGTACTACACTCAAACACAAGAGACAGGAATACTCCGTTAAGGGGTTGATAGCGTCTCTTGATGTTGAGGAGAAAGCTCGGGAAAAAGATGCCGCGTCTAAGGGCGATGGTGGGCAGTCCAGTGCCAATGTTGTGCACAAGGCCCAGAACAAGAGCAAGGGGAAATACAAAGCTCAGCAGACCACCAACTTGAAGAAGCAGAAGAAGAACAACAACAATCCTAATCAGGATGAGAAGACTTGCTTTGTGTGTGGCCAACTTGGTCATCTGGCTAGGAAGTGTCCACAGCACAAGGGGAAGAAGGCACCTGTAGGGCAGACTTCTAAGTCTGCTAATGTGACCATTGGCAACACTGGAGATGGAAGCGGGTATGGTAATTTACCTACTGTTTTTTCAGTTAATCAGTCTACTAATTGGTGGGTTGATACTGGGGCCAATGTACATGTTTGTGCTGACATCTCATTGTTTTCTTCTTATCAGGTCGCACGGGGTTCCACCGTCCTAATGGGGAATGGGTCACATACTTCTGTTTATAGTGTTGGCACGGTAGATCTGAAGTTTACTTCGGGAAAGATCGTGCAGCTGAAGAACGTGCAGCATGTCCCTTCTATCGACAGGAATCTTGTTAGTGGCTCCCGTCTGACTAGAGACGAATTTAAGTTGGTTTTTGAGTCTAATAAAGTAGTCGTGTCTAAACATGGAAATTTTATTGGTAAAGGTTATGAGTGCGGAGGCCTGTTCCGCTTTTCCCTTTCTGATTTCTGCAATAATTCTGTGAACCATATTTGTGGCAGTGTGGATGATGAGGCTAATGTTTGGCACTCACGTTTATGTCATAGTAATTTTGGCTTGATGTCTCGGCTTTCCAGCATGTGTTTAATTCCTAAGTTTTCCATTGTCAAAGGTTCTAAGTGCCATAGTTGTGTGCAATCGAAGCAACCTCGCAAGCCTCACAAGGCTGCCGAGGAAAGAAACTTGGCACCACTAGAATTCCTACATTCAGATCTTTGTGAAATGAATGGGGTGTTGACAAAGGGTGGAAAACGATATTTCATGACTTTGATTGATGATGCTACTAGATTTTGCTATGTGTACTTGTTGAAAACGAAAGACGAAGCTCTAGACTATTTTAAAATTTATAAGGCAGAAGTTGAAAATCTACTTGACAGAAAGATAAAAAGACTTAGGTCTGATCATGGTGGAGAGTTTTTCTCAAACGAGTTTGACTTATTCTGTGAGGAACATGGCATCATACATGAGAGGACACCTCCCTATTCTCCCGAGTCTAATGGGATTGCTGAAAGGAAGAACTGCACACTGACTGACTTGGTGAATGCCATGTTGGACACTGCGGGACTACCTAAGGCATGGTGGGGGAGACATTGTTGACCTCGAATCATGTGTTAAACAGAGTTCCTAACAGAAATAAGGGCAAAACACCATATGAAATATGGATTGGAAGAAAACCATCACTTTCTTACTTGAGCACATGGGGGTGCTTGGCGAAAGTCAATGTACCAATAACGAAGAAGCGCAAACTTGGACCTAAGACTGTGGACTGTGTCTTTCTGGGATATGCTTATCACAGTATTGCCTATAGATTTTTAATAGTTAAATCTGAGGTACCTGACATGCATGTTGGTACAATTATGGAGTCTCGTGATGCTACCTTCTTTGAGAGCTTTTTTCCAATGAAGGATACACATAGTAGTTCGAGCCAACCATCTGAAATAATTCCCAGTTCAATCACATCACCAGAACAAACTGAACATACACATGAACATGTCACTGAGGAGGATGACAGTGAAGCTCCTCGAAGGAGTAAGAGACAAAGGACGGCTAAGTCTTTTGGTGATGATTTCACTGTGTACCTCGTGGATGACACTCCTAAGTCAATTTCAGAAGCATATGCATCTCCTGATGCAGACTACTGGAAGGAGGCTATTCGTAGTGAAATGGATTCTATTATCGCTAACGGGACTTGGGAGGTGACAGAGCGACCCTATGGGTGTTAACCTGTGGGATGCAAGTGGGTGTTCAAAAAGAAGCTTAGGCCTAACGGTACTATTGAAAAGTACAAGGCTCGGCTTGTTGCTAAGGGCTATACTCAGAAAGAAGGCGAAGATTTCTTTGACACTTACTCACCTATTGCTAGATTGACCACAATTTGTGTGCTACTTTCCCTAGCAGCCTCACATGGTCTTCTCGTTCATCAAATGGACGTTAAGACAGCTTTTCTTAATGGAGAGCTGGATGAGGAGATCTATATGGATCAGCCTGATGGGTTTGTAGTTGAAGGTCAAGAAGGCAAGGTGTGCAAATTGTTGAAGTCTTTGTATGGTCTGAAACAAACTCCTAAGCAATGGCATGAGAAATTTGACAAAACATTGACATCTGCAGGCTTTAATTAGCGAAGATGTTGTCCTGCAGAGCATTCTTGAAAGAACTCACCTTTGTGAGCTTGACTGTTGGTCGTAGTCTATGGAGATTTTGGGTGAATCTTCTAGGAAGCTTACTATAGACCTAGGAGTATGACTTATACGCTCCACCCGAGGGGTAGTCTACAGACGGTCTAGTACCAGATAAGACTCTGAGTGAAACTTGCTTGCACAAGACTTGCAATTCAAGGCATAGTCCATTGTTCAAGTTGTGAGTAAGTGTAGCTTGGAGTTCTAGGTGGATGTTCAACCTTAATCGGTCTCCATCGAACCGCTGGTATATAAACAGTACATTAGAAAAGACAAATCTCAGTGGGATTTTGAGATTTGGTGGGGGATTGTTGGAATTAATGAATGGGCCTTAGCCCATTCGAAGATTAATTCTTTGGAACATCACAAAAGCCCACCTCATAGGATGGCATGCATGTGGAGTTTAGTACCACCTTGCTTATTCTCGGAGAGGGGGACCTCCTTAAAAGGGAGGATGCCCTCCTAGCTACTTGAAGCATGTGTGGTGGAGAAAAGAGGGGGAACACAAGCGCTCGCTCGCCTGGCCTCGCCTGGCAGGGCAGGGCAGGGCAGGCGGCGCGCGTGCATGACGTACGCGTCGAATGGTCTGCCAAAATTGGTTCCTCACCTTGCGCAGATGCAGCCTCCTTTTGCAGTTCGGATTCATTTTTGTTTTGGAACGTTCCGAAAAATCCGGTGCGTGCAAACGGCGTGGAGTCCGGATAAGTTACGCGCGACTTATCCGGTTCGGTTACGCGCAGTGGAGATCGTGCGGGCACCCTGATCAAGCGACCCTTCTCTATATAAACCTACCAGCCGTCTTCACGCAACATACGCGAAATCAATCTAGGGTTTGCCTCCTACTCTGTGCTACGCCGTCGCTCGTAGATTACTCCATCCCGCTCGCCGGCGTGCACTTGCGATCGGGAGAGCAGGTCTCTGGAACCTCTGCCTTCGACGTCCTGCACCGGGAGAAGGCGGCAATAAGGTTTTTGGGAAGCGCTTTGCGCGACTGCTCCCTGTTCTTCCGCGATGGCTCGTCTTCCCCTTCGCTCGTGTGCTGCGTGCCTCCGTAGACGCCTACGGAAAGTTTCGACCGAGCAGCCGGTCTTTCCGCCACCTTGGTACGTGTTCAATATGTTGCGCATATTTGATCTGTTCATGTTATACTGTGTAGTTTACATGTGTAGATCTAATGATGCGTTCATGCTAGTTTTCATCTGTAATGTCATGATTTATTTATGGAATAGATTAAATCATTATATGCCTATAATCTCAAGAAAATCATAATTAAATCTTTCTTACAATTGCATTCTTGTTCTCTGTATTTTCCAATGATCACGGTAGGACATGCCAACATATATATACATTTCGTTTTCTTACTTTTTACCACGGAGACTGCAATGTAGAATTAATTTCCACATTGATCAAATTGGTGGAATTGTATAAGCCTGATCATCGGATCATCGATATATACTAGTACGTCCTCAAGAAATTCTCAAATATGTACACATTTTTATCAACTTTGAGCAGATTTCTCACACATATTTACATAAGGAACCAAAAAAAAGAACCTAATTTTGTTTAATCTCGATCGATCATCCTATATAAATTTTATCAATCCATTATAGTTTCTTATGATTCGTGTCTTTGCATATTATACTACCAAATAAAATCAAACAACAACCAAATTAAAGTACGCAAGAACCTGCTTACCCATTCATCAGTAGTAGTATTATATATAGCTAAGCGCTTCACAAGTTAATCTATGGCGATCCGGCCCTAATTGAACCACATGCATGGCTAGTTCAGTTCAAGGATAGTGGGCATGGCCAAGCCTGAGCTCCAGGTCGACGCCGTCCCTCTCTTCCTCGTTCCTCCCCAGGGTGAGGCCCAGGTGGACATCTCTGCCGTGCTGCTGGCCGCCGCCGCCACCGCTGCCGCTGCCGCCGCCTTCGTGGTGCTGGCCGCCGCCCTGCGACTTGCCGCCGGCGCTCCGGTCCTTGCGGTGGATGTTCATGTGGCCCCCGAGCGCCTGCGCGTTGGTGAAGCCCCTCTTGCAGAAGGTGCACTCGTAGTAGGACGCCGCCGGCGCCCGCCTCGCCGGCGCCCCCTCGCCGTCCATCGGAAATTAACACACGCCGCCTACTAGCTTAGTACGTAGTACCAGTGAGCTTGGAGGAGTGAATCTTTAGGGTTTCTTGGAGCTAGTAGCTAGCTAGTGGAGTCTTGGAGAGGAGAAGGGGAGGAGGCTTGGGAAGCAGCAAAGGCAGGTGATTTTATAGAGTGGCAAGCTAGTAGCTTCCTTTAGGAGTGATGGAGACGCACAGGAATTAAGGGCGTAATTTGCAATATTGGCGTGTGATGGAGAGTAATTAAACAACTCTGCCGGCCGGCCGGCGAAGGTGCTGCCGTCCTCGTCAGCATACACGTACGGCAGCCGGCCACCTGAATTCGGTCCATCTGACATGGCGTATTGTATTGTTTTGGCGTGCATGGAATTAATCGTCCTTACTCCTTACCCAATCTCCGCGTGATATCGATCGATGAGGAAACCAAAAGTATAGCATTGGTATATTTGCCAGTAGCAGGGTGTTTCATGCATTTGTATCGGGGTCAGTGGTCACCGCTATGACCGAAATTCGGTCCGAAATTATTTGATTTTTTAACAAAAATTGATTAAATATAAATATTACCAAATTCAAAAAAATGGGTGGGTGGGGGGGGGGGGGGGAAGAGGGGGTCCAGAATAGTTTCGGACGAAATTTCATTCCGCAATTTTAAATCCTGGAATCCGGTTAGTACGTACGTAGCTCTAAAAAATTTAGCTATGTGATGTATTCTTAATTTGTGCAGCGGATCGATCGAATCTATGTTTTTACTAGAAGAAGAAGGAATAAAACCCTATATCAATGACCTTTATAATAAGCTTCCCTATGTAGCCGGTTTCTCTTTTACGACATTAAGATCGACTGTTTAATCGATTTCCTTTATTACTTCTTATAGACGTGTCCTGAAAGGATGATATAAACAAAGATCCAACAAGAAAAAGGGGAATTTACAGTCACTTTTCCTTTATCGTGTAAAAATTAAAGCTTTACACGGGAGCAATAGAGGTTGGCCAAGTTTTTCTACTTCCACTATCGGAAAAGTAGCTAGGTCTAGAATTAAGAAAAAGAAATATAATCGCCAAGAAAAATGGAAAATAAATATCAACTGAGTACAATGATGTAGCCCCACCCCGCATACAATATTATTAGATAAACAAATGAAGCCCCTTAGACATTAATTAACAGCTGATCAATTTTATTACTCTTTGTTTTTTTTTCTTTTCTCATAGCTAGCTAACTTCCAAAACAAGACTACATATATATGCATAGTGTGATGCACAAGTTGAGTTTCTACACACACAACATATATATGTCAACTTCAGAAGCGTCGTGTACGTGCTTCAACTTATTTAATTATACGGCAATTGCAAACTCTTATCATATTTACCACGATACGTACGTTATGCTTGGATCAAGCTAGAGATATTGAGAAAAGAAATTAAAATATGTAAGACGATCGAGGAGATATTAATTAGGTTAGTTAAGAGAGGGGCATTACGATCCGTATATATATGCTGATATATTGTTGCTCTGAGCTCAGCCGCTGCTTGCTTTGGAGTTTCTGTTGCTTTCGTCCTGATCGACGCTTCATCACATCCTCGGTGCACGGAGAAAGCAGCCGGTCTCTCCCTGTCATTTTCTTTGGACCCATGCATGCGACTGATCACTTTCTGAGTACTTTGATATAAGTATGTTTTGATCAAGTAGTGAGTAGTGACCAATTGACCATATATGTAAGGTGTGATATGAAGATTGTCAAACAATAATATGCATTTTGATGTAAAAGTTAATTATTCGACATGCGTCATTTCGAAAAGGTAGGGTTGATGCATGCATGTGGCTGCCGGCGATCCAATTCCGATCAGATGGGGTTGGTCCTGGCTGTCATAAGTGCTGCTTAAGTTATATAAGTTCCCTAGCTAATTACATGCATCTGGGTTAATTAAAAACCTTTTGCCCAAACTTTTCATTTTTTTAAAATAAAATAAAGTTGGCTCATGTGACATCAAGGGAGAGATATCTACCATGCTCTAGTACTCTCCACCTTTGATAAAAAAAAGGTGAATATTAAGAAATGACTTAATATCAAATATTTAAAAGGGGTGAAGGCTTCGAACCCAGATCGTCTAGCTCACCACCTCGTAGAGCTAACCGAAAGACTCCTAAGTGTTCACTACTGGAGATGTGATCTTTGCCGAGTGGGGTAAAAACCACAAGAGTCCCGATTCTAAAAAGAACCGGGACTAAAAATGATCTTTAGCCCCGGTTGAAAATCTCACAACCATTATATGATCTTTAGTCCAGGTAGATAATACCAACCGGGACTAAAATTCAACACGGGACTAAAATTCAACACGTAGTATATAATCCCTCTCACTTATCCTTATCCTCTCCTCACAGATCCCCTTTCTCTTCTTCCTCCTCCCCTCCCTCCCCTTCTCCTCCCCTTCCTCCCTTCCCATTTGGCGGGTAGGCGGCCGGCGGGGCCGCGCGCGGCAGCGGCAGGCAGGCGGCTGGCGGGGCCGCAGGCGGCAGGCGCCGGCCGTGGCGGGCGGCGGCGGCACGGGGCTGGCGGCTGGCGGGGCCGCGCCGGGCGCCCTCTCCTTTCTCTCTTTTTTTTATAATTTGTGATTCACTGAGATGTATAATTTTGTGATTCGTTGTATGGATCTGAGATGTATAATCTGTGATGTATTTGATTTGTGTGTAATTTTGTTAGGATTTGTGATGTATTTGATTTGTGTGTAAAGATTTGGGATGTGAATGATTTGGGATGTGATTTTGATTTGGGGATTTGGGGTTTGATTTGGGGATATGCATCCCACTCGATTTAGGAGAAAATACAGGGATTAAAAAAAAGGGGACGAATGACTGCCGCTATTCTCTCTTTAGTCCCGGTTGGTAACACCAACCAGTTACCAACCGGGAGTCCCGGATTCGTCGTCTCGGTTGGAAAAAAAACAGTTGCCAACCGGTGGCAAAGATCAGTTGTGCAGCAGTGGTTTCTCACTCTCTACCTTTGATTGCTGCGCGTTAGCATAGGATTATAAAACAATTGACCGTGTGGTGTTATCAAGCGCTATGGGCCGGGGAATGCTGGTTCAATTTTCTCAAGAAATTAGCTTTGTATTTAATTTCCTTTGATCCAGTCAAAAAATGCCTCGATTTGTCCTATCCCTTTTGTCTCAAAACTTTTTGCATTATTTAACTACGTCGTAGTTAACACCAAGTCGCCAGTCATGTCCATACCTATGACCAGATGTTGGAACAAACCAGCGGAGTTTGTACTCCCATTTTTTTTAGCAAAAAGTGAGAACCTCAACTGTATTTAATTTATTCATTTCCACCACTATAGTGCCACACTTCCTAAACATTCACCGGGCTTAATATATAATCCATATATCTTAAAAGTTCAGTTTGCGTTTGAAATTAGGATCGACAAAGTGAAAAATGTAAGATATTATATATATAGGAGATAATAAAGGCGAGTGGTGTATAAATTAAGTAGAGTTAGTTTCTGTATGGAAGTTTTTAATAAGCTTACAATTGAAAAATACTCCATCCGGTCCGATAAGTATCACGACTACATGATTGATTTTCCTGTACGTCCTCCCTTTTTTTCTATGCAGTCCGTAAGTGGAACCGCACAGAAAAATAGGGGGACCGGCGATAGTTTGTCACCCGTACAGGAAAATCAATTTTTGTGTGCAGGTCACTTAACAGATCCGTACGCAAAGTGACCCGCACATGAAAATAGCTCACCCTGTCGTCACGCGCTGCGCTCCACGAAAATAAAGTGTTGCTCCCTCCACCCGGCTCATCCTCCCACACTTATATCCTCATCCTCCTCCTCCCACACTTCTCTCTCTCCCTGTCCTCCTCCCCCTCCTCTCATCGCCCTCTCCCTCTCCCTCTCGTCCTCAGCGACGGCGGCGCCCTCGGCTAGGGCGGCGAAAGCGGCGGCATCAACTACAGCTACGGCAGCGGCATCGGCTATGGCTACGGTGGCATCGGCTACGGCTTCGGCGGCGGTGGCTGCATCGGCTACGGCAGCGGCATCGACGGCGGTAGAGCGGATCCGTGGCCGGCTAACGCGGGGAGGACGGATCCGTCGCCGGCGACCGCGGGAACGATGACAGTGGGCTTCGGGAAGGCAGCGACGACGATGGTGGTGGCGGCGACGATGACGGTGTTGATTTTTTATTAGGGGTCATGGGTGGATTTTGATTTTTTTTGTTTCTATTTTTAATTATCCCGTGCGGTCGGTATAACACGACCGCACGGGGTAATAGATTATCCCGTGCGGTCGGCCCGCTCGCACGTGAAAATGGCGATTTTCCCAGACGGTTGGCTGCAAACGGGCCGGATCCCCGCACGGGATAATCCAAATACACGCATGGGAAAATGGTTCTTATACTAGTGTACACGGTTCCTTAAAAAATAATTTGACCACTATATTTTTTATTATATATATATATATTAATAAAAATATTATTTTATCGAACTATTTTTTAACACTAATCTATACGTATGGACTCTATACTTCTAAGATAAATATTTTAGATTCTATTTATAGTTAAAAATTTTAAAATTTGATCATAGCCTTGTCTAAAACAATAAATATTAACAACCCGGAGGGAGTAAGAACGTGGAATTTCAAAGTATTAAGATTAAGATATGCATCCACTTAATTTCATAGCACTAAATTTTGTTGCTATATATACTCTCTACATACCAAATTAAGTTTATTTTTTACCCATCCCACACATACCAATACAATACCGAAAATACTAGAATACTCAAACTTTATCAAATTCTAATGCTCACTCACTTTATATATTCCCAATGCACTTATTTCCTAGCTACTTTCATAAACTTCGATGTAATAATTACTCAAAAAATAAAGTTATTTTGGGACAAACGGTAGGGGCTAAAAATAAACTTATTATGGGAAGGAGGGAGTATAATATAAAGTAGGAGTATAATACCATGAAATATTTTTCATATTAAAAATCAATTATCCATTGTCACATATCAAAGCTGCATTTCATTAGACAAAAAAGAAATAATTGGTAAGACTAAACTAATGCTTTTCGGCACTGCAGAAATTCTGTAAGGATTTAT